ATAATACTAATTCAGTCTTTGGTGTTAGCATTGTAAATTTGTCCGACCCCCATGACCGATTACTTAGCAATTAAGTAGTTGTATTACAATTCATTTGATTCACAAAAAAGGGAGATAAACCCAGAGATTATGAAACTTTATCTGTTTATTCAAAAATTAGTTAGCAACCTTCCTTTTTTACCTTTGACAGACCGGTTCATTCCTTCGGTGTGTTTTAATTACATTTTACTAAGTAAAAAAAAAGTTTTTTTTTTTAATTTATTCTCTGCTAACTTTCTACGTTGTGAAAACTTTTAATATATATATTTATATATAAACATATAGTTTTAAAAAAAGGTTATCATATTGAAGGTATTATCCGATTTTAACTAAAACGAAATTGACTTAACTAATTTCTAAATGAATACGAAGCTCAATTTGACTAGTCAAATTTTAACGCTTTTATATATTTATAGGTAAAAATTCCCTATATTTTATTCTCTATACTGCTGCCAACGAATTTGTAATTCGTAATACATCAAGATGAACAAATATAAGCAACAAAAGCAACAATCACTAGCAGAGTCTAAACTTCAACGTTTAGTGGAATTTAACCTAAGGCTTCGCAGAGAACTAGATTTTCCACGAATACGTATTAGCGAAGCCAGTGATAGGTTAGTCGTTTTGATAATCTTTTAAATTTAAATAATAGTAACTAATTTTATTTTTTTCTTTAATGGTTATCTATTCAAGTTTAATTCGTTATTGTCGAAATACTAGAGATTTCTTAGTTCCATCAGTTTGGGGATCCGTCGATAGACGTGACGATCCATATGCATCAGCAAGTAGTAGTTGCAACTGCTATATTTTATAATGTTCTTTCATAGGATTGCTCTCTCTCTTTTTTCTATAAATATTTTTCAGAGCTTCTTATTAGTTGCATTATATGACATGTGTTCAGGGAATTTGTAACCTCCTTTTTTTAAGAAAAATTCTAGTTGAGGTTGCATCTTTCTGGTAAGGTATTGCACCTCTATCAAAAAGTATAGTGAACTATATTTATATTTATAACTTTATTCAATGGTTACTTTTATGTGTTATGCATTTGAACTATATTGCCCTTCTTTCCATTATCAATTAGTGTGATCTTATTTATTTTATTCACATATTCTGATCATACCTCTTAACTAACTCTACACATCATTTCTCTTCCTTTAAATATTGTTTCTACAATATTTGTAAAAAAAAAAAAAAAAAAAAAAAAAAATCAAAAAAAAAAAAAAATGTAGAGATCACTTTTCATTTGGTATAGTGTAATATGTTGTATATTTAAGTTTTTTTTTTATTTGGAATTAGCATAATTATTTAAGTAAAATTTTCTACATTCATGGTTTTGTGTTCCCCAATACAAAAAAGTTTATTAATTTTACTTTTCATATGAAGTGAACATTCATAATTGTACGCTATACAGCCAGAAACCTATATTTAAAAAAATTTTTTTTTAACCATATTACTCAGGAAAAGGATTTTCTGACAAATTGATTAACAATCAAATTTAATAATTATCCTTTAAATTGTTGATAAGTTGTGCGGTTGGGTATTAAGATACGTTTTAAGATATAAGATAAGCAAGTGTACTGTAATGAATCGATCTATTGTATGAGAATATGTATAATTTAACTGAATCGAAGTTTATCTACCAAGGAAAGTTGTAACATTTTTATTTTCTTTAAATTTGGGTATAATTTAGTTAACAGGTTTTTACATTATATGTTTTCGCGTAAAGAATTAAAATTTACGTAGAAACGTATTCACTCTACCCTCGTTATAACATAGTGATCGGGCTGGGAAATTCCATTTATATAATAAATGTGGCAGATTAAAATGAAATCGGATTAAAATGAAATTTTTCTATTTTTTAGAAAAATTTAAATTTTTTTGGGGGACATTTTTTAGGGTTAGGGTTAGTGTTAAAGTTAGGGTTTAGAGTTAGTTATATTAATAAAAGAGTATAAGTGGGTTTAAAGATGAGCAAGAAAGGTTCCCAGTTTCATTTTAATCCGATTTCATTATGATCTGCCACAATAAATATCCGTTATTATATTATATGGCATTATACTAAAGTATTACGTTATAATCAGTAAACATAAATTTTTTAAAAAAATCACAATTTTTTTATTTTATGTTCACATTTGTGAATATAAAAAATTTTTATCTAATTAATAAAATTTTATTTGTGATCATAATGTGAACATAAAAAAAGTAAGTTCACAAAAATCATCATATTGTATTTTGAATTTCCAACACTCGTTATAATGAGGGTTCCGCTTGGATCCGTTATAACAAAGGTAGAACGTAATAAGAAATTAATTTCACAAAATTTAGATATAGAAACCGTTCAATGAGCAACTTAATAAGTATGACAATTTAATAAAAAAATCTCAAATTTACATACATGGCACCTTTTCAGTGTAAGAGATAGTGGTTAGCCAGTTTATGACAATAACAAGCAATGGCATGACGTGAGAAAATAGCTATTTCTATATAAATAAGTGACCATTAAAGTTTGTTATCATAAGTTGCATGTAGAAATGTACCATTCGCGAGGTAAAACTATCATACATTCAACAGTTCATATGACTTCGTGTGAGGTACGAGGTGGCGTCATCAAGGCAAATTCTGAGTTCAGCAGATTCATATGCTTTAATATAAATTATCACAAATCACTGACTGCTGAGTTTGTTTTTCTTTTTTTAACTAAAGATTTACCACACGCGTGATATGATGAATAGCTTGTGCGAGGATGATGTCATTATATTTTGCGAGGCACGTCTCTAGTTACATGGCATCAAATCGAATTCAAGCAGCTTTTAATCTTAAAATTGAATATGCACTAAGTGGATTCATAATTACTAAATTTTTGGTTCGAAATTCTATAATGATTTGAAGGAATTTATAAATTCGTTTCAACTTAGTGTGTTTAGAATCAACTTAGAATGGTTCTAAATCTAGCGAGATTTCATTCTGACGTACATAATAAAAATTATATAAATTTCGATTTGCCTAAAGACATATGTAAAATTACATGTATTGTAAAATTGTAATTTCGTAACACAACTCTAAGAGTAACTGACCAATGTTAAATAGAACTACTTCAGCATTCACTACAAAAGTTAGATTCTTTTAAAATAAGCACACACTCTTAATTTTCAAAATCCATTTTTCAAACAATAGCCCTAAAAATGTGTCATTTTTGCAAGGAATAATTTTTATGATTAGCTTACATCGCACGTATCTTTATCTCTTATGATATTTCGGAAATTATTCTGTCGAACCATTTTTTCATTTCTATAGGCTTTGAAATTATTGATGAATTTTACTATACCTAAGTCCATCATAGCAAAATTACAGTCAAACCTCTCAGTAGTCACCTCCTATATAAGCACTTTTTTTTTTATAAACCCATTTTTTTAAAAACAATCTATTATTAAATATAATAAATTTGACCTCTATAATTGTCACACTTCTTTACAATCATGTGTTTTGTATCCCAAGTGTGTGATTATATAGAGGTTTGACTGTACATTAAATTTATTTTATAAAAGTTCGTATAAAAAATGTAGCAGGGCAATATGTTGAGTGTAATACTTTTTTCAAAATAATAAAAAATTAGAACATGATATGATCCGGAAGAACAAATCAAAGAAACCAAGAATTAATCAAGTTAGGTGTTGTGCTAATTGTAACAGACTAGGATTTGATCGATCCGTAAAACAGTCTTTAAAATCACCGCAATTATGATGTTTTTCTAATTTGTATATCTTATAGATAATCATAATCACAAAAGACTATATTATTGGATGATTTTGATTAGCGGTCCGAGCCGGTCCAGACCGGTTCAAGACCAAGGACCGAATAAGCTTCAGTCCCGGTTCAAAAACCGGTCCAGACCGGTCTTTGCAAGGACCGAAGGCCCGGACCAGACCTAACCAATAACACTAATTGATCGGTTCTATTAGGACTGGGAACGGACTGATCCAACTCTACAACAGACTGTAATTCAATTCTGAGGATGATAATTATTATTTTGTATATGAACAATTAGAAGTTTTTAGAAACTAAGACTTCCCAATATCCTATTTATCTGATAATTATTCCAAAATCAAATACGTATATTTATTTAATTTTATACTACGTGTATAAGAATAACTTTTTGGAAAGAGATAAGAGTATTAGGTATATAGGAAGATAATTACCAAAGCGGAATTCATTATTCTTCAATTTTTTGAAAAAATATATAACGAATAGTGATTGGACCCGTCCAACCCGGGTGACCCGTTCGGGCTGATCCGGGTAGACTGACAGGTATTCCCAGCCAATCACTGATGTTGGTTTACATTGGGTAAAATAGGATGTGTAAATCCTATTTTACCTGATGTAAACAAACATCAGTGATTGAATAACGAATTATAATAGAAACATAATGTGATTTAATATGACTAGAGTACTTTATACCTCCACAAAATTAGTTTTCTTCTTGATTTTGTTCTTAGTTCAAAGGATCCGGATTTTAAACATCCCTATAAGAAAAATGGTTAGGATCGGTACGGGTTGGTTTCGGATAGGCACGGGTCTTTGTGGCACGGGTCAAGATACGGGTACGGTCCGAGTTTGTATGGATTCGGTGGTCTGTGTTGGACCGTATGCCAATTGGTCCGTAAATGGTACGGGTTTTGCAGCAGTTTACTAGTCGAATCGGCACGGGATTTGGCACGGGTAATGATACGTAAATTCACGTGCCACCGCAATAACAAATACAGTCGACCCTCCAAATAGTCACCTCCCAAACAATCACATCATAGGTAATCACATTTTTATTTAGACCAAACTATGATTTAATTTATAAGAAAAAAACCTCCATATAAGCACAACCCCTTTAAAAGCACATTTCTAAAATAATTTACTATGCGCCCAACTCTGTGATTGTATAGGAGGATGACTGTAATAGGAAGAAGAAGAGCAAGACAGAGAGTGAGTATTGGAAAAGAGTGAAGTTTACTAAGTTATATGCCTTACTTATATTTTGAGAAAGGACCTATATTTCTTGGTAATTGCAGTTTGTATCTCAATTAGGTTGTTTAGAATATGAATTAAAGTAGATATACAATTACCAAATAGTATAATATAGTTGTAGAAAGATAAAATAGTGTATTGTGTAAAAACTTTACTAAGTCTATTAGTAAGAATTTTAGTATAGATTTTATAGGTATGTTTAATAAAACTAATTGGTCAGGTTAGATTAAGATTGCCATCAAAATGTGTTGTTTTTAGAAATAGTGAAGATTCTTTCTTTTTTTTTATTACTTTAGGATATAGTTGTTTGATAAGTAGTGATTGAAGAAAGCAGTTAAAAAAGAAATATAGGAGTAGTTAAAATGCTTTAATATTTTATAACCAATGCTAGTAGGGCTACAGGTCTTGTTATTAGGGAGTTTAGAAATAGTTTAAAGAGTTTTATCAAGAGTAATAGATTAGGTAAGTAAGGTATACTAGTTCAAGTTGATATAAAAAAAAAGAGATAGTGTTGCTTCTAAAAATTGTTAAAGAGTAGTTGATTGATTGGTTTGTGGGCTATCTAGTTGAAGAAGTGAGATTGTATGTGTTGTTTTATTTGAGTAGAGTCAGTAACTAGTTAGTTTGGTAATTTGATATTAGAGAAGTAAATAGAAAGTTAGTAGTGATTCAGGATACTGTTTATAGCTTGTTTGGGCTTAGGGACTAATGTTTTACACCTTTTCTCTAAGGCTTTATTGATTTGATGTTGAAGGCAGAGAGAGTGTTTAAGGTAATAAGTCTAAGATATTTGTTTTCAAATATTATAAGCATGTTGTAGCTATGTTTGAATAGTAGTATAATTAAGAGAAGTAAAAGATTAGAGGTTGTAGTTTGTATATGTGTTGATAATTAGAATATTAGAATTAATATGAGATAGATATAAGTTAGATAAATTGGAATTGTTGTTGATGGTTTTAATCAAATAGCCTAGTTTTTTAAAACCAATATGAAATGCAGTACATTGTGGGCTATATTTGTATTGTAACTGCGTTTGCAGTTATTCTATTAGGGATTGTTTGAATAGCAGCTTGTAAAATATAGTATTATATTTTATACCAAGTTGTATTAATACTTTCGGATATATAGATATATAAGAAAATATATTGTTGAGAAAAACGCTAATGAGTAAGATTAGAGAATTGGGTCCATTGGTTAGCAGAAGTTGATTTATAATCAAAGATTCTGTGGCTAATATTAATATGAAGGTGAGGAGATTTACTAAAGATATGAAGAAATATTCAAAAGGAGGTGAGAGTTAAATAGTTAGAGTACTAGTTTTGCTATTGTTAAAGTTAAAATTAAAAAGAAATTGTAGATTAAATAAATTAGTCCAAATATAGTCTATTCGACTAGAACTAGTATTGTTGGACTAAGTGTGTTGGGTATTGTTAAAATAAGCACCAATATCAAACAGGTTTGAGCAATAAAAAAAGTTAATAAGTTTGAATTTAGTTGAAGAACTGCTGATATTTTCATGTGTGTTAAAGTTGCCAAATATAATAGGGTACAAATTCTGTTATTTAGCTTAAAGAATTCAGTTAATAATAGTATTTTGTATAAAATTGCATTTGGAAGAGTTGGTAAAAGAAAGATACACAGAAATTATATATAGTTTAATATTGCTTTTAAAGAAGAGGTCTAATACAAGAGCACTTTTAGAATGTGTATAACAACTATATATATATGTATAGTTTAAGATAGTTTTGGATCATAATAGCTATTCTTTCAGAAGAGCTTTTAGAGTTAGACTAGTAATAGGTATAGAGGTTGTTATTGCAAAAAGAAAGTTTGGCTTTGTAAGAAATTTTAGTTTTAGTAATACTGGCAATAAAAATATTATGATTACTATAGTGGTTTTGTCATAACTGTCTTAAAGTCTCTAACATTATAGATTGCTATAATAAGGTTAAGATGATTAGAGGAAAGTAGTGAAGTTGAAGTAGATATGTGGTTAGAAGTATATAAAGATCTAAATAGAAAGAATAGGTTGTTTAATATAGAAGGTTGGGAGAGGAATAAGAATATTGTATATAGCTATGTAGATTGTTTGATAGTTTTGAATTGGATTGTGATATTAAAAAAGAATGTTGTTTTAATTTAAGAGAAACATAGCAAAACCAGTAAAGAAGAAAAGAGAAATGTGGTATAAAGTAGTTAAGAAATAGGTATAACTTATATAAAAGGTAAATATGTGTCTCAGTATAATTATTATTGTGATTTTTGTTGTTTAGGATTGAAATTTTAATAAGATCTGGTGAGTAATAGGAAGGAAAGTCATGTCTAATATATTGAAAAAAGTAAAAATAGTTTGTGGATGTTTTAGTAGTAGTAGTCTATAATAAAAGAGAAACTTGTTATAACATATAAGAGGATCTATAAAGCCTAGTAGTAATTGGACTTGTCAAAAAAATACTACTTGAGTTACTTGTGAGTGGACCTATAAGCTACCTGGGTAGAATCTGGGTGGGTTAAAAAAGCAACTTTTTAGATGGATTTATAAGTTTCCTAGATGAAAATAGAACATTATAGCTGTTTTCATAAATTTCAAAACAACTGAAAAAATTGCCAATGACCAAATCGATAAGCTTTAGAAGTTGGTTACTTATTAATTCCAACTTGGTAATTTATCAATTTGGTCATTGGCAATTTTTTCAGTTGTTTCAGAATTTATAAAAACAGCTGTAAAAATAAATTAATAATTTTATTTGGATTAGTTAGAAATTTTATCAAAATGATAATATTTAAAATTTTATCACCAATTCATTGAATGAGTGTTTAATCTAATATTACAAGTGCATATTTGGATTAAAGTCACAATTATTGTTTACAGGTCACCTGTTGGGTGATCTACCCAGGTGGCCAAAACTTCACCTGGGTCACCTGTTTACCTATGGGTGACCTGGGTGGCACCTATCCGGGTCTAATCACTAAAGCCTAGGTTTTTAGTTATTTGTATAATATATAGTTTCAAGTTGTAAATCATTAAGGCTATATAGTGAGTTGTCATCTGGGTCAGAGTTAGAAAATAGTTCATTGTCAAGATTAAAGTTTGTGTTGAATTTAAGAAGAATAATATTATTTGTGGTTCATAGAGGGCTAATAATATTAAAGATAAAGCCATATAAAAAATGTTTTCTACAGTAGTTACTATATGTCTAGCTTGCATGGCTTCACAAGATTCAGAAGCCTTTAGGTTAAATATTAGAGGACTATTATTATCTGGATCTTCTAGGTATAATTAGTAAAACTTAATACTAAAAATTTAACAGAATTAGAAATCATTAGAACAAATATAGTAAATACTATATAACAACTTTGATAATTATATATTTTTTTAGATACTAGATTTATTTTTGAAAAAATTAAACAAATTATCTTAATAAAATTTTAAGTAATTTTGATTTAAAAAATATTTAAATTTATTCAAAATTGTTCTATATACAACACTGTCTATAAGAATATAAATAATAGTAAAAGTAAACAACTTACAAGTATATTATATATAGTGTAAAATCTTTAGGTAAACTACTTAAATTAAATAACCAAAAATTGTATAGGTAAACAAATTAATAACCAAAAATTGTATATGTAGCTAATTGTACTCATTATAATTACCAATATATAACAAGACTCATACGGTTGTACTATATTAAAACATCAATAAACTCTAGTCTCTGAATGTTTAAAAAAAAACCAAATTATTAATACAATAAAAAAATAATAAAGATAACCAAATACAGTATACAGTATAAATATAAAAAATTAACAAATAACCCAGTAAATTTGAATAAAAAATAATAAAAGCAATAAAAGCAACTATTTTAATTTTATAACAATATCAATATATTTTTTAACTAAATCTTTACTAACATAAATAAATTTATAAATCAAGAATACATTTTCATTTAGTGCTAATACACAATACCAATATTGTAATAAAAGCAGTTCAACTTTCAAAAAAAAAAATTTTTAATTCTTGTTACTTGAAAACTATAAAATTATACGTTATCAACTTGTAGTAGATATAGCTAAAACAAAAAAAAAAATCTTATGTGATCTTTTAAAGCATTTAAAAAACATTAACTAAGTTATATTATAATGACTAATTGTCTTGACAATATCTGTGCTAACATAAATATAAAAAAATTATATCACTTTGCTTTTGATAAACAATTTACAAATAGATCAAATAATTCTATTATCTATAGATATATAAAAAAGGTCTTATGCTTTTCGCTAAAAATTTATCACATAACTCAACTTACATAAAATTGCGATGTAGCCTCACGCAAGGTGTGTGAACATGTGCTATGTTTACCTCACGCGAGGTACATTTCTAGTTCGTCTCCTATATGGAGATCGAGATCTAGATCGAGATCTGGATCGAGATCTGGATAGAGATCGGGATCGAGATCTGGATAGAGATCGGGATCGAGATCGGGATCTAGATTGGGATAGAGAACGGGATCGAGAACGGGATCGAGATCGAGACCGGCTACTTGAAGATGTGGATGATATTGAACGGGAGCGACGTCGTCTTCTCTTACTTGTTCTTATTGTATCAACAGAAGATGAGCGGTCTCGACGATATCTATAACAAAAAAATGTAATTAACACCTTATAGTTGATAATATAATTAAACAAAGAATATAATATATAAAACCTTGTACGCGATGATTTAGACTTCGCGCTAGTTTTGCGGTACCGTTCACGTGATATAGACCTGAAATATTATATTAATTATATTCAACTTAAATCATAAGACAAATAATCGCAAAAAAATCAAACCTCTTAAACTTTTTGCTAGCAGATTTTATTAAATGTTTTTCAATTTCCTCACTTCCCAAGCGTTCAAATTTCTGCTCACGTTCCTTTTGAATTTTCTTTTTCTCATCCACCTGAATTTGTCTATTCAAACCCATTTGAAGCTTCAAACGAAGTTTTTCTGCAGGTGTCAATTTTTTTGGAGGAACCTTATTATTGGTATTAGTATATGAGCTGGTTGATATTACGTTTGCTTTTTGGCTGGATAATGTTTCAGTTTTCCTTCAATATTGATCAATAATGGATATAAATGAAGATAAGTCAATAAACAGTCGATATTTAATCATTAATAAATATTTCCCGCAACAAAAAGTATGTTATAAGGAGAAGTGTTCTTTTTTTTTTCAGTAAAATTTGTCGTAGGTATTCGTAATTTTCTTCACTTATCGCTAAAGTTTCTTGGTGATCGGATCCGCCATAGTGTGGAAAAAGAAACTTCACCAACCGTGTATGTAACAATGATCCTCTTTGCAACTGTGCTAGAGATAGCTCCTCCTTATGAGATCGAGAAGAACTAGACTCCGATGCATTTTCTTCAGAATTGCCAAATTCAATCACAAAATTCCCAACTTCTTGCTCTTCTGACAAGCTCGTCGACGAATCACTAGAAAAATAATGACTGAATTAAACTACATATATAGCAATACTGGCTAGGCCAAGACGAAAAAAAGTATTAAGATTACTTACGAATCTGTGTAGGGTTCGTATGTGGGTGAATCTCTGATTGAGTAGGATCTAAAAAATAAATTTAGCGCTATATATGAGTAAATTTAAAGCTCTGACCAAATCAAGAATATTATACCGATTTTGCATGTGAATTCTTTCGCTATGATCCTCTTTCCGTGACGTATGACGCCGCGATTTTCGTTCTTTAATCTTTAAGACAATTGTCAAAATACGAT